CCAACGTAGCAGCATGTACATGTACATGTACATGTACATTGTGTAGATATGTGTACATGTCCAGTAGGTGTCCGAGCTCAAATTTTACACAACTTGTGCCATGCACTGTACAGTTCATGTGCATCACAGTGCATAGGTGATGCATGCAGACTGCGTGTGTAGTGTCAGTATGTGGTTCGGGCGGCCATCTTTCTCGGGGTCGGACTTGAGTGCCTTGTGTGTGGGTGTAAGGGCAAGTGTGAACGTAATACACTTGGCAAACACATCCAAAGTACACAGTAAGGATCTATCGAATGAATTAAGTTTACGGGGGAGGCAAGGGGATGTACCGATAATAGACAACAATGTTGGATGAGTACTTGGAGAAAGAGATTTCATGGGAAAAACCCCCGGCGTCAAACCATAATGTAAATGTTAAATATCTGTTGGGTGTTTTTGTGTATGTGTTTTGGGTTTGTTTTTTTGTTTTGTTTTGTTTTGTTTTGTTTTTGTTTTGTCTGTTAGAATTTTTCTGAGGGTGGCTATCTACTGTAAAGACATACCCAAGTGGCAAGCGGATCGACATTGATCAATGAATGTGCCTGGACGTACGTTATCTTAGATGTTTTTATTCAGTCCTTTATTTTTATGGGACTTAAGGGACCAAGTTAATGTAGTCCAAAACTGGGCGAAATGCACTTACAATGGAGACATTTTATCATTTTTCAAAAGGTTATAGTGTCCTACAGTTGATGGTTTTCTTGGAACCACAAGAATGGAACACATTAACCCTGCATGTACCTTCCCCCCCAAAAGAAATGAAATGCATTACATGTATGTAACAATATAGATGCACACACCACACCAATTAGAGTTGAACAGGCAGAAAGAAGATACAGTCCCCCAGCGTTTGAACAATCACAACTGACCACAACACACATAGGGCAGGCCCTAGACCCACTGGTGATCTTACAGTCTATTTACGCAAGGTGTACAAAACATGTTTGTCTCTTGTATTCCCATTTCCGGCCCTCCTCCAATGCTACTTTGATAATGTGCTTGAGCAGCAGCAACACCACCAACACAACCACATGCATTAGTTGAGGAAGATCAATACCTGGCAAGCCGTTGGAAAAGAGCAAGGAGCACTGTGAGAACAGGAGGAGAATGTGCTGCAAGGCCAATCAATAACGAGACTTCCCGTAGTTGACACTGTTTGTCAGGCTTTTCCTCTTTTGTGTATTGTTGAGTGGGTGGGTATTGCGTCTAGCGCCAATATCAATGATACTGTGGGCTTGGGCTAACGGCCAAACACTTGTGCGTCCTGCCATTGGCTCTGCTTCCCCTTCTCCCCGTTAAGATTTCTAAAGAAACTAAGAGGGTTGTTACATAACCTGCCTCTTCAAGGGGCTTTGGGACAATTGGGTGTTGTGCAGGATGTATCTCACAATGCACGCTCCTATTGTGATGCCCTAATGCGGTCAGGAAGTGGCCTTGATTAAAGTTTTCCTGTCTGTGCATCATCAGCAGCTTTTTGGGGTGAAAAAGTGTGAGGGAGTCATTCTTTCCTGGCTCAAGATTGACAGACACCTTTGACACAAACACAAGAGATGTGAATTCACTTCAAAAGACGGGGATTACTGGCTCAAGTGATGAAGGCTTAGAAACTTGCAGCAAAACATGGCTGCACCCATAAACCATGGTCTAATAGTATTGTAATAATTCTAGCCCATGGTGGTTAGTGGACCACTTTCTGTGCGTGTCGTGGTCTGGTGACTACCAGTACATGAAATCTATAGGGCTCTTACAGTGGCAGCCAGTCGGATACCTGACTGATGGGGTGTCACTTCTATGTGTATGTAAATGTACGTTTGTTCAGTTTTATTACCTTAAACCTTCGCATATCCTGACTCAATCTTTCTGGAAACAAACTACACCTTTTTATGGAATAGTTGTTATGGATTAAACCAATTTCTTTCAAACTTCCTTGGAGATTAAGCTTTGGCAGAACCCACCACATTTGTTCAACATGTACCATGTACATAGACACTTTCTTGAGCCTCGCGAGTTGCTGACAATTTCCCTCTGTCGGATGGTGGTTGAAAGCACTTTCTCCCAGTGCTGTGAGGTTATAGTTGGCAGAGAATGGCAAGATGGCATGCACTGCTTGGTTATTAAAACAAATTACAGTTCTGCTGATGCTGACTGGTGTAAACAATTTGTAGTCAATCCTAGTCACAGCTGCAAAAGTACATTGTACATTGTACATGTGCACCCAAGGCAGGGTTACTGCTTACTGTAGGTCTGGCTGGCCCAAGGCAATAGTTGTTGTGCCTGTAGGCCCCACTTTATCCAAGGTATCAGCGCCATGTTCACAGTGCTGTTAAAGAAACACCGGAGTTTTGCATTTCATGTTGATGACAAGTTGTATTAGCCAGCTTGAAACTGTCTTAATATCTGATTTTCAGAGAGGATTCACAGATGCCCAAGTTCTAAATATTTGTAGGCTTACGCATTTTAGGGTTCATAATGATTATGTGTATTTTTTTTAGACCACAGAAGTTTTTGCTAATCTGGCCCTACCGGCAAGTGCCTCCCCTACTCTCTATCTATGCTTTTAGTTGAAGACCTTACAGTGTCCATACTCCACCAGTTCATTAATGTTCATGTGTAAATTTCTTGCATTGCACATGTAGGTCTGTGGGCAAGATGTTTACATGTCCATGGTCTTACATGTCAGAAAAGCATGTACTGTGCATGTATGGTAGCTGACTCATCTGGATTTGGGAATTGGGAATTGTGAAATTATGTTGAAAATGCATCTTGATTTCCGGGCAAAATATGATTTCTGGGAAAGGTTTACGATCCACTGAAGATCATATTTTACATACACGTAGACTTTGTTTTAAATCTGATCATATTACATACATGTGTGTACGTTCATAGAAATGTTGTTAGGGATACAATTTACATATCGGTATATGATTTATGTTTGAAATATATATGTACAACCAGCCACAGATTCATTTACGTCCTCTTTGCTTGGTAGTCAATTTGATTACACATGTACATGTAATACCATGCACACAATTCATTTGTGAATTCCTAATGACGTAGGGCTGTACGTCACGTTTCTTTGGTGTCAGAGCAGGGGCATATCTGTCGGCGGGCGAGCATGGAATAATTGCTGAACGGCTAACTAAAAACCCAATCAAGAGCAAATCTCGAGATTTTGTTGTCATTGACAACCAATCAGCCTAAGACGTAGTGAGACTGCTGGAAAGCCGGAATGGGCCCCCAAATAATTCAGACTGCCCTGGCTGTTGGATAAGTGCACATGCAGGTGAATTGCTCTAGACCAAAGGATGTCAATAAGAAAGTTTGGCAATCACCTCCGGATTGAAAAAAGCAGAGAACGATTGGCTTAGTTTTATTCCCAAAACCAATTTGGATTTGAGTTGGTGATTCTCATCTTTGTCATGATTTGATTAAAAGCTTAAATGATTTTGAGATTGAAAAGAACAGTTGTGTTCTACTGTTGAATAAGTTACATATGGAATGCATAATTACTATGTAATTCACCAAACAGTGGACTGAAGGTCTTATTCAATATCGAATTTACCCAAACCGTCCGTTTTATAAATTGACTTGACAATGATTAACAACATGGTTCCATTTCAAAACCAAAAGAAACCAAAAATCAGTTTTTACCAAAAAACAAAAAATGCAAGAATCAGATGTGCAGGTACTTCACGTGTGCAGAAACAAAACAATGTTATGCAGACTCAGATCATTAAAGTGACAAGACTTTGTCCTAACAACTGGGTCCCAAAGAAGGGTGAGACATTTTAATGAAAGAAGTTCCAAATCCGATTACAGATTAACCGCCCCTTTTAGAGGTTTGATGTTTTGATTGCCGCAATCTGGTTTTCATTTTTATTGTAAACGATGCCTGTTACATATCGTTTATTTTCCCTTTCGGCATCCATGTATGTGCCGGTACATTTCACAAAGAGATACCTTACATATGTTAAATATGTCAGCTTTTTAATATAAATGAAGATGCATTTCTTTGCATCCAACTGTAGCTGGAGGTGCATGAATATTTACAAAGATTTCCGCTTAGATTCCGTGGGTAGTACTGTGGAGCTCTTTAGCTTTGGTGCTGAAGTCCAACAGTTCCCATTGTACAGGTATTGCTTCTGAATACCCGCCCATTAGTGTTGACTGGAATTCCCCCACTGAGGCATTCATCCAAGTTTCAAGGAGAAACCACACAAAAGTCATTTCAGGAATCTGGCAGATGAAAGGGATGTTTTTATTTTTGCTTTTTTTTTCTTTCCCAGTTTCCCTTTTGTTCTTTTTTTTTACCCAAGCTGCAGAACGTGACTCTCTTGTTAAGAGGTGGCCCGTATTACCCTTTCAGGCTGGCCGTACTCCCTGCTTTAATTCTCATGGCCAGGTAGTCAAGGAGATCAGTCCCATGCTTAGTGTCCACATGGAGGTCACTTGGGAATAAATACTGTCATTGCTTTGTTACTAATTACTACATTTGATCACCAAAGTCGTTTTCAAATGCTTGGATAATTTGGAAGTTGTGCATCGTATCACGTGCATCTGGTCATTTCATTCTGTGTAGCAGAATTTTATAGTCTTCAGAAAACCTGTTTCAGGTGTGGCAATGAGTCTTGAATTTATTGTGACAAGCAGTTTGAAGGACCTGTTCAGACTTGTTATGTGATGGTGTGTAAGAAAAAAAAAGGAAAGGTCAAATTGAGTGAAGGTTTTGCTTGCCCATATCATTTGAAGGCTCCCCAGAGGGCGTTCCATCCCAAAGGTTTGGGGGGGGGATGGATATTGTGTTCTTTGTCAGTCTGAATGTGCAGAAACATCGTGGAATATTTGTGCATTTGTGGACATTTTAAAGTTTCAATGTCAGCTTTCTTTGTGTGTCCAGTTATGCCTTTTCATTTCATCTTTTTGCTTCTTCCCTGATTTCTTCCACCCCACCTCATCCACAGATGAAGCACGGAAGGTGAACCACGGCATCCTGGTGCACTGCCTGGCCGGGGTCAGCCGCTCTGTCACAGTCACAGTGGCCTACCTCATGCAAAAGCTGTGCCTGACGCTCAACGACGCCTACGACTTCGTCAAGAAGCGCAAGAACAACATCTCGCCCAACTTCAACTTCATGGGCCAGCTGCTGGAGTTTGAGCAGCAGCTGCGGGACAGCCCCTGCCGGGGCGGGGACTGTAGTTGTTCCAAAGAGGGGCGGCGGCTCTGCATGAGCCCAGACCCGGTCCTCCAATCACTTGTCCCCTCGGCTGCCCTGTCCTCCTCTTCCTCCACCTCATCTTCGGCCTCCTCCTGGGAACAGACCCCGGAAACGTCCTCTAGAAAAATCGAATTCAACTTCACAGTCGACAGCTGAGGACAGGCCAGAGACCGATGAAGGGAAGGTTGGTCACTGTTCTTCAACTTCACAATCCGAAATCAGGGAAGTCATGTTGTTTTATCAACTAACCGTGGGAAACATGCACTTTTGCACAGAGATTAAACTGAAAAGAAAGTTTAGAGAATGGCGAAGCCCTGTTCCTGACACGAGTTGCCCGTGAGCCTTTGCCAAGAAGAGGAAGTGGTACATTGATAGCTGTGTGTGGGTCCGATCTATTTCATAACACAGGAAGTTCAAAATGAGGAAGGAAATGTCCTAAACAAACTGGGAGAGCTGTCGAGAGCGGAAATAAAGGCTTGCAGTAGTTTCTGTTTCAACAGTTACACTTGAATTCGCGTGAGAAGATTTCATTGATTGCTGGGTACAGCAGTGGAAATGTATCAGGGTTATAAACGTTCCTTGTGACAAAATGTCTCTTTAAGTGACAAAATGTCTCTTTAAGTGACAAAAAGTCTCTTTAAGCTGGAGCATACTAACACCGTCCACATTCTCCACTGTTGGCACAGTGCATTATGTGTAACTTGGATCAAAGTTCAGAATATTTGACTGAGTTTCAGGCTGGTATCGGACTCCTCATCAGGGAATGCACAAATACATGTACAAAATTCATACCTGTATGAGAATCTAGTGTCACGGCAGTTTGCAGGCTGTGTTGAAATTTTGCAAGTTGGCACGGTACCAAATACATGGACTGTCGTGACAGCAAAGGATCTTTGCACAATAGGCAGTGGTGGCTTGTAGGTGTGCCTGTCACACACCGCCGATATCTTGTGTCAAGAAACTTACAACGTACACGTTGTACCTGTGAAGGCTTGTTTGTAGTCAGCTTTGTGTGTGTACTATTTGTACTTGGAAGAAACCTTTGCATATTATATGCCTTCACGCAGTTACAAGATCATTATCTTAAAAGACCTCTATTATTAGGGATAGAACAGACATTTGTTTAATTAAACTCTGACACAAATTGTTGCACAGTAATGTGTGTACATAATGTGTATATATACATGTATATATATCTATCTCCATAGCTCATTGTACAGTTAAAGAGAAATCACTGTGTTTTTGTACATGAAGACTTGTACATTGTATATATTAATTGTAACAAAAACCTAAAAGGTGCAGATTGATATAGACTGTCCTTTTTATCTATTCCAGTCTTATTAACCTCTCAGATTTTGTTTGTTTCGTAGGGTTTTTTTTTTTTGACCAGGCTGATTTGTAATGAACTCAGTTTAAATGTAGACTAATTTCTCAGAGGAAAATCATCTGGTGAATGACATGCATACTGGAAATGAATTTTTAAGAGCGGAACTCCACAGAGCCTTGCTCCAGACATGTAGCACATTTTGGGATGTGTACAGGTGTACATGCAGGTTTGCGTATAGCAAGTGTCATAATGCGGATGTTCATTTCCTGCCATATACCTTTAGGTTCAAGAGTTGACATTTGTGGTTATCATGCTCGGTTGCCCTGTGTAGGTATTCAGCTGAAGGAAACACTTCCCGAAAAGAAACATTCTGTTGTGCCAACAACATTAACGGGACCTGCACAGTGAAATCAAATAGCAGTCAAGTTCATTAGGGTGCCAATAGATCCTCACTTCTCACAGTGGTGTTGAAACGTGGATGCATTTAATCTTAATTGTACTTTCCGGGTATGGTGTTGTGTGACAGCATTCACATCTGAGATGGTCCCAGCGAAAGGTGAATGACAAAATTTTAAATCCCCTCACTCAGTTTTGAACCCTGTACAGTCAAAAGACGACAATATAAGGGCACTAGTATGTTAGTACAACATTCTGCTTGTAGGAAGGAAAATTTTAAGTTTCCTAGTCTTTGTATTCTTTGTTTTGCCAGTGCTGATGATATAAGGTCCCTGTTACAACGAAGTTATTATAAAATCCCAGCAACCTGTTCACAAGGTGTTTGACTGTGTATAAATTACGGTGCAAACAAATTGATGTCCCATGCCATTGAATTTACACAGCGTGTTTGCTGTCATCTTTGTAGCAAGACTTCAGGAGAAAAGTGATCAGCCTCTGATGCGTATGCATCTCTGGTGGAATTGTTACGACAGAGAGTTGAACAAACTTTCCGTCCCGATAGAAGCAGTGGCAGGTTGGATGGGAATTGGAAACTGGGGCGTGGGTGAGGTTACCAAGGCACTTGTGTAAGTCATCCTCTCATTACACTTAAAAATACATGTACTCTGCGTTTACATGCAAAACGGGGTATTTCATGAGCCCGTGTGAGGTTTCAGGTTATCACTCTTGACTAAATTCTAGCAGTTATGCCTGTGACCATTAGATTTTTCAGTGAACAACATACCTCAATGTATGTCATTATGTTTTTACTAATCCTGAGGTTTTTTGACTGTGTACAGACAACTCACACATGTAAATTGTTTTTTGTATTTGGACATTACTGAGAATCTTTTTTCCAGTAATTGATATTTCAGGCTGAATTACGAAGGCTTTAAATAGTACCAGAACAGAAGTTAGAGAATTGGATGTTAAGTACTTAAATGTCGTCAGAGACTCAAAGAGTTTTGATCACCTATCGCTAAGTGTGTGGTTTTTTTGTAACTGTGAACAAGTACGTGATTTATCCAGGAAAAAAAAAACACCCTTTTGGATTTTTATACCTTTTGAAAATGGCAACTTAGACCAGTGTGTGTCAATGTCAGGTACATGTGTACACGTAATTCATTCATGGAACTCAAGGCGTACATGTGTGTTTACTCATCACCTGGACAAAATTGTTGAGCGCTCTTGCCTGATGTAGCACATGTACATATACATGTACAATGTTTGAAACAGAATCAGTGCAGCTTCCCACCTGCTCCCGAAACAGATATTTCGTGTTGTTCAGGATTGTTACACTGGCATTATACTTCCAAGCCCTGCAGCCAAGCCCTGCAGTGAAGCTAAGCGGGACCTTCCTGAAGCTTTTATCAAGCAGACATTGAAATCTGGAAGAGCAAGACTGTTATTTATTGGTCTGTTAGAACTAGAGCGTATTCTCTTTGGCTTTTCAGTTTCAGGTATGCTAACATCTGTGTTTCTTTGGAAGTGCAGATTCTGCAGAAAAAAAGTAGAAATGTTTGTGAATCAACTTGCCCTGTGATTGGTACTTAATTAGTTACTATGCAGTAAATTACAATTTTTCAGTGGCTGTATGGTGTGTGGAAGAGCATTAGGGATACTTACAGATGTTTTGTGTTTCCACGAAGATTTAATGTTTGTCCTGTTTTGTTTTGCTATTTTTTGTTATATCAACGGAGTCACTGCAAAGCGTGATTTCCTAAATTCGTGGAAAGGTGCAGCTATTTAATGCAAAAAGAAAACGGAATTAGCCAGCCGGCATTCAAATGCTTTGGCATTAAATATGCATGTAAATGGGCCTATTTGGAGACGTACCATGCGATTGTGCATTTAGTATTCAGGGGGGGGTTTTTGGGGGGAAGGATACTTGAGAGTACCGAAGTGTGACGTCACTGTGAACCAGAAAGTGCAGTGTACAAGTGAATGGAGTATACGCGCGTGTTGGTTCATGCGCTGGCTCTGGCAGTATTGCCTTTACACACACTTCTGCCCGTGACGTAGTCACTTCGGTACTCTAAAGTGGTTATTTTTAGTCATTGCATTGAGACAACAATGCTGATGCTTTAAATGTTTGTCCTTGTGAAAAAGATAGGGCCTACAATTTGTATTTTTGTATGTTGCAGGAAAATCCTGAAATGTTTAGTTGTACTTCAACCTGTCAGTGGCACGGTATTATGAATATTCATGCATGGCACTTTGGCAGCGTAGTGGTCGATTTTCTGATTATAGTGTACAAGTACACTGTATGTGGCCAATGGCCATTGGTTCCATTTGGCAACTTACGTGAATGTGCATGCTGATCAGTGATGATTGTAAACGGTTGGTTGGATTTGCATCGTTAATTTGGATCCTTTCAGTGCTAATGGCCATCGGGCTTAACTTGAGTTGTTGCTTTTGATAAGGGATGAAATCTTGTTTATTTTCAATCCATGCACACTTTTATATGAACTTAAGCTTGAAGCCTCATAACATCCAGGTAGATGAAGCTCTGTAGTCTTAATTTACTTGTTATGTGTCTCCTCTGGGGCACCACACATTTGCATTTGTATACATGTATCTAAATGTAATAAGCGTTCATGTCAAGAAGCAGAGACAGTAGTCAATTTTTTATCAGTTTTGCAGCTGAAAACTGAGGACATTTACCGAAGCAAGGGGTGTTGCCAAAAAACAAAGCTGTTGCTGAAAAAAAAACATTAATTGAGGTTGGCGCTCAGCTTTATTTTTTCTGGTATTTTGTCTGTGTATTCAAGGCACATTTCACTGCAAAGATACATGTAAGCTCCAGAAAGGATAGGAGAGGCCATCTGGGTCCCCCCCCCGACACGGAAACCATGTAGCTTATACAAACCACAGTTTTTGGAGAGAGGGGGGGTGTGACCTCGGCCCTTTTCCAAGGGTCGGTCTGTCATGAACTGACCAGTGTTGCTTGATTTAACAGTTTCGTTTCGAACTTATGAATTCAGTGCCCAAGTTTGTCGGCACCTAATCTCTTGTTTCAGTTACTTGTCCTCACTTTTTACCCTCTTTTATATCTGTAATGTAATCGTATCCAATTTTCACTCTATAGCCATTTTATTGTACGTGTGTTCCATTGGAAAGTGTATACAATAATATGTATGTCATTCAGCACATGGCGTTTTTGAATCGGTTGTTTGCCAACCTACTTCAAATCCGGGAGTAAAATAATGATTATAGTTTTTAAAAGAGTATTGAAGAATGAATGAAGAGTTATCTTTTTGCCTGGTGAAATATATTTTGAATAACCAGAAAAGTGTATTTAAAGACATCAAAGATGATGCAGCAGTCTTGTAATACGTGTTTATTAATTACAATATAATAATCAAGTACAGTGTATAAAAAAGGACAGACATTTTTTGACTCTGCTGATTTTTGGATTAGTGAAATGGTGATGAACACCAGTGTAATTTTTATTCAAACACTGAATAAATATTTTTTAAATGGTACACATGTGGAAACCAAGTGTGAGTTGTTCTTTTGGAGGGCTCTTGTCACCAGTCGCCCGAATCCGGCTTTTGTTGCCTGTGTTATTCCAATTTCAACAACAACGTCATTAGCGTGCGCGCGTGATTGTAACAACTATCTGAATGCTGTCATCGTGGCCTTGCGAGGGTTTTCTTTACAAAACGTAAAAACTTCTTTTCCCACTTTCTTAACATTTGTACTTTTTTGTCGAAGTACAACATCAAAAATCTCGATGTTTTGTTCCACGACAGTATTAGACATGGTCAACATGGAGAGTTCTATTTTCTTTGTTTTGTTGTATTTTATCATAATAAATAATAATAAGTTCTTGTATTGGGCCAAATCCGCCTAAATTGACGCTCTAGGCGCTTTGCATATATAAAAAAACATCTTTAAGATGAAGTAAAGTAAAACTTAGAACAAAAATTATCAATTTAAAATCGACTTCAACCAATAAGAAACTTTAAGAATTCTAAATACACAAGTTAAGCCAAAGCTAACCCCTGTAAATTTACAAGTTCATGGTGAGCAATTTGATGTTGTACCTTCTTTGAAACGTCTTGGTGTTAACGTACAAAATGATCTCAAGTGGGATCTACATGTTAACTTCATTATCAGAAATGCTTCACGTAGGTTACACATTTTAAGTTGAGGACGAATCAGGTGACTGTGTCTGATTTACTAACGATTCACAAATTATGTTCGTCCTCTATTGGAAGTTGGAGTTGTCACATGGTCTTCGGGGATCACGATGCTATGGACCAAAGCAATGAGAGATTGCATAAAGGTTCTCGAAGTATAATTGTTTATCCAACCACTTTGTCATACTGTGAATTATTGGTGTTTTTTAAAACGTTCATTACGTCAGCGTAGAGAAAAACTCGTCTTGAAGTCTGCAAAATCCTTGCTTGTATCTGATAGGCATCGCCATCTCCTGCCACCTCAGCGTAACTTATATTTTTCACAACATACACTCAGGAATTCATACCAGTCCAGTTGGAAAGGTTGAAAGTAAGGACTCGCAGATACGAAACTTCACCAATGCTGTCAATTATTCGCTTATTTTATTAAATTAATTTTGTGTTTTAATACTTATTTTCTGACCTTTTATGTAAACTGAAGGGTATAAGTCTTTGGACTTCTTCTTTGGTGGTGATTTATAATGAACCTGATTTGAATTCCAATTTGAATTTGAATAAAACATCAATCTAAATTTCAGATATTACACGTTAAAAATACAAGTTCAAAATATAGATTAAACACCAAAATTTAAACAGGAAAAGAGCAATTTACCTTTTTAAGGGTTTTACTGTCTGTGAAAAAAATGTTTCTGGGATCTGCCACTTTCATATAGGACTTGTGGTATAGTTCGTGACACCCTTCGTACGGCTCACATTGCTGACACGAAGTCTTAATAAGGACTTTTTGGTTCGTCCAAGTTCAGAGTCATACTACATCTGGTAATGTCAGTTTACACTCCCTGCTATTTTGAAGATGTTCCATGACTTGAACCTTGTTTTCTAGATTGGGAGGGGGAGTCTGAAAATTCTCACTCGTAACACACAAGTTAGTGCCAATTTTTTGTCAGTAGTGCTCAAAACAACAGGTTACTTTTGTAACCGTTACAGAAACAATGTACATGTGCTCACTTCATCTATCTAGTGTCCCATGTGTCCAAATACATGTAACTGGCCACGCGCGGGACATATTGTTATTTTTGGGAAAACACACTCATCCACGCACGGGAAATCACTGTTTACATGCAAGTCGTATTTGTTTAATTTGCCCTGGGTTATGAATACTGAGTATTTTCTTGTGCACTGTCAAAACTGTAGCCGAAATTCGCGAGCATGCAGAATGTAAAAAAGACAGTTGACTATAGAGCTGTCAAGTGGAGTGAACCGCCTGCCGCAGGTTTTTCGGCTTGGTAGCATCCTCGAGGTTGTAGGCCGATAAATATAGGCCCAAATTTGCCTGGCACATAATGATTCAAGTTCTGTCAGATTCTCTGCTTAAATGAGCATTTTGCGGCCCGTGATCTGGAGGGTGTTGTGAAGATGGGTGGCAGCCGCATACTTTTATCGTTTGGGAAGTAGCAGCCGCCTGCCGGACTGCCAGCTTGTACAGTAGTTCTCGGAAAAATTGACGAAACGGGTCCCTCCATGTTTTGTAATGGAGTAGAAAGCATCACTTTTTCACAATGGCGATCACGGGGTGATCAGCTGTAGATGGAACTACGCGCATTTCTCTGAGTAATAGGTCAACCTACTGTTGAGCCATTAAAATTGAAAAGGCATAGAGACAAAGAAACCAGCTTTGTGTGTGTATAACACCTGGGAAACTTGGGTCTTTCTTTTTTTTAGTTTATTTCAGTTTTCACTTTGGTGATATGATATTGCTCAATGTTCTCTGCTACCCATTTATTGCTCAACCTTAGAGACCTGAACTGAGCCCCGTCTGCGTCAGCAGCGAATGGCACTCGTGAACCTGCATGAGGTTGCCATCAACCTCGTTCCCGTTGGTAAGATCTTGCCGCACTGAAGGAACGGGCACACAGCCCATTGTACAGAGTCAAGGTGGGTTTGTCATAGCCCATCGGCTAAATACTGTACATCCTGGGACGTTTCAGCCAAGAAATTTTTACGACGGACACAGACAATCTGAACACAAAGCAGCGCGCGAAGATGCTGTCAGCGGGGTTGATTTTATTCGCCCCCTTGCCAACTTAATACCTGTACATGTACTTAAAGACTGTGTGTTCAACATGGTGTCGTTGGCACATACGCATGCCATGAAATATGATTGTACGTGACTAATACGACGATTCGATCCAATTTATCTCTGCTGTGTCTCGTCAGAGGTTTTCCGAAAATATTTTGTGTGCTGCAATGTTTTCTCTTTTTTTGTGGACAAAAACGCACCACAGGTTAACACGATTTCTCGTCTTTTTCCTCTCTTGTCTTTCTGTAAACTTGGGAATAGGATTGCTTCCATCATCCCTCTTTCAAGGACGCTTGAAGATTCATGAAGCTTGCTTCATGGGGCAAGTATGCACAGCCGGTACCCGTATCATTTTTTTTATTTAGCTGACCTCAATCGTCACATGTCGGGATGATGGCTTTTGTTTTTATTTGATTTTCATTTTGTATACCAGCTGGAACGTGAATTGAACGTGAATTATTCCTCTGAATACATGTAACACAGTAATCCTTATTCATCGATGGACATATTTGCTTTTCCAAAAAGGATTTTAAAAACAGGTTCAAGAAGAAAATCAATTATTTCCAAAGACATTTTTGAGCGATTTTGACACGACTGTATTCACAGAACCAGGATCGAATCCTAACCTGACATGACCGCGCACTTGCGCAGAACATGCATTTTAGGAGGAAAACAAAGTACCGTGTTGATGGTGCATTTCCTGCGGTTGTATATCGTTGTTACTCAATCCCCTGGCACAATGTGAACTTGAACCGCAATGGGAGAGCGTAAATGGCGACAGAAATAAACCAGTGGATGTCCTGCTTCCTCCTGGCGGGTTTATTTTGACCCAAGAGATTTCCGACCTCGGAACTTTCAGGGTGTCACATTGCAGAGGGGGAGAAAATCGACTCCTTGCATGGAGACAAAATATAGGCTCGTAAAAGTCGGGCTATTGTGATCCAGTTGTCTTTTCCGACCACATTTTACTGTCTACAAATTATATAGTTCCTATGCAGTGCAATCTTTAATGTGGTCCATGATAATTTCTGTTTGTCATTTACAAGGGCAGGCTATACTTATTTGTTTTATGCAGTGTCGTGGTCGAGACCGCTTAAGACCTTCACAAGACCAAAACAAAGTCACAAGACCAACACAAGACCTCCGATCTCAATTCAAATTACAAGCTATTTAAATGAACTGCAACAAAAGCATTCCTTTGTCATGGTTCATCATGTTACTTGTGACTGGTTTTGTTATGCATATGGTCTCGACTACAGCACTGTTTTCACGCCACAGCAGTTCATATTGAGCAAAACCGTGATGCCGTTCTAAGCACAACCTGAATGTTGCAGCTATCCAGCGCAAAAAGTTACAAGAATTCTGGATGTTTTCTTTTCTTTGATGTTGCAACCCATTCTCAAAAAAATCATGCACAGTTACGGCAATTAAAGCTGCATGAATATATATTAATTTGGGATTTTTGCCCTGCCCGACGTGTATTTTATTCACGGTATACACGTCGGGTAGGGCAAAAATCCAAACTTAATTTACATCTCCCGGCGTAAATCCATCTTGAAATACATATAAATTTGTTTCCCACTTTGAACAGAACCCCTCCAAACTGAGTAACTGGACAGCTTCTGTTGCAGTATGACATCACGATATAGCGCCCTCGTTAATTATTTGTCCAGAAACGCAAGAAAAGTGTTTAAAGGAAGTCTACCACTATTAAATACAATTGAACAGAAAGGGGGTGTTGATCAGATTTCATACATGTAATAATAGTTGGAAGCTGCAAAAACTGACCATCACAGAAAAATTCATTACTTGGACACTTTAATACACATTGACGCCCGTGTACATGTATACATACACACGGGAGTCAGCCAATAGGAGTCAAGTTGGCAGATAGCAAAATGTTATACTGAACGTGTTACCCACAAGAAAAAACCTTTTTGTCTACCTACATGATGAATGGAAAACCACTCGAGAAGGCAAATGGCCATACTTACCTGGGAGTAGAAATAAATCAGAAACTGAGTTGGGCTGATCATATAAGCAGTGTCTCTTCAAAGGCAAACAAGATGCTTGAGTTACTCCGTAGAAATCTCCGTAGCTGCTCCCCAAGGGCGAAGGAGACTGCCTACAAAACCCTAGTTAGGCCTAAGCTGGAATATTGTGCTAATGTGTGGGATCTGTACCACCAAGATCACAAAAGCAGACTAAAGTCCAGCAGTGTTTCCTCAATGATTCAAAACCTGGGATGGAAATCTCTGGAGGAGCGTATAGA